GGATGGACCTTCAGAGCTCATCCAGTCCAATCCCTGCAATGAGCAGGGACACCTTCAACCAGAGCAGCTTGCCCAGAACCACCTCCTGCCTGGCCTGGAATGTCTCCAGGGATGGGGCATCCATCAACCCTGGGCAAACTGTGCCCGGGCCACCCTCATTGTAAAGAATTTCTTCCTCACATCCAGCCTGAACCTCCCTCTGTCAGTTTAAACCCATCACCCCTCGTCCTGTCGCAACAGACCCTGCCCAAAAGTCTCTCCCCATCTTTCTCATAGGCCCCTTTTAAGAGCTGAAAGGCTGCAATAAGGTCTCCCCAGAGCCTTCTCTTCTCGAAGGCTGAACAACCCCAGGAGAGGTGCTCCAGCCCCATGACCATTTCTGTGGACCTCCTCTGGACCAACTGATGCTCTGCAACAGAAGCAGAGGGACAAGCAACCAGCCTCATGGGGTGCTCTGGCACTGCCTTGGTGGGACCATTTGCTCCATATTCAGCCTGCTTCACCCACTGTGCTTGCCATCCCATCCCCTCCTCATGGCCACGAAACCTTTTATATTGCTGTGAGATGATGAGTATCCGCTGCAGTTCTCCACTAGGAAAATAAGCTTCAGTAATGCTGACATGTCTGGGGCCCAAGGAAGTGTCTGGTACCCGACTCCAAAACTATCTAACTGCTGTCATGGTTTCACAATGCTGAGACAAGTATTCTCGGTGAGCGCATTCCAAGAGGCAGTGGGTAACAGACTGCGGTGAGAAATTTGGGCTTTTCTCTTTTTAGAAACTAACAGCCAAAAGGAAGGGGGAAAAAATAATTTAATCTAGAGAAAATTCTCCACATTAAAAAAAGAACAAAACCAACCCCAAATCTAGTCATTTTGGTCTGAAAATGGTGAGAGGAAGAGAAAAGATTGAATTCAAACCTGCCTTCGAAAAGCATCAATTCACATTTCAAAAGATAAAGTTACTTCAGGCTAAAATACTCCAGACAAGGTTTTTCATGTAGGTTTTAAGTTGCTCTCATTTTCGTTTTACAAAAACAAGGGTGTCATTATCCTGAGTTCCCGAGCTCCACAATTCACTCTACAAACACATCTCCTTAGGAAGATGGGCTGTAATATGACCAGAGATCAACTTGATCTCTGAATGATACCTAAAAAAGGTTGTTGTTACATACAAGTACTTCATTTGGGATGTTGAAAAAGAACTATCCATCAGCCGTGGAGGGCTTTTGCAGGTGCTTAGCTTCAACCTTTAAAACACCCTAATACTGGAGAAGGAAAAACAAAACGTTCCCAGGCCTACCATTTATCTGCCCCATTGGAAGATGAATTCCATATGGCATGTTCAGCTCTGCACTCAGCTGTATCAAGGAAGTCTTCTATTGGACTTCAAGTGATGCATGTGAAAAAGACTGTGGTTCCTTATGGCTTGGCCTTGGTAAACCCCTTTGTTTCTTGCCAGACCAAGAAAGCAGTACTTTGTTCTGTCTGTTGAGAGAGATTGGTTTCTTAACCCTTCCGCGCATCTTGAAAACATCATTCCTTGATGAGCACAATCCCAACGCTTAATGATACCCATAGCAACGATCATCTCCAACAGCAATGTTACTTAATGCTTTAAGCCTTAAGTCAGCTACACAACTGCACTTTTCTACCCAGGATGAACAGGCAGTTGCAAAAGTCAATATAAATGGGCTTTCATCCCTGTTTGAATAAAAACTGATCACATAAAAGGCATCTCTTAAAGATTCTGCTCACAAAGTGGTGGTTTTACAGTCAGCATGTGACTAGAGCCAACTGTTCCCAGAGGCTCAGAGGAAGGAGAAGATCTGAATTTCCTGCTTTTCACACTGTCTTACTTCTATCTCACTTCTGCTCAAGGCCAACCACGTTTTGGAGGTACATTATTCCTGTGATCAGAAATGCCATCACCACTGAACAACTGAAACTGAAGGGCCACTGTATCAGTATCAGCACCCTGTGTTTCAACATAACTATGAGAAAACCATGTTGCACGTATGATTAATACCACAAAAATAGAACCTGGGTTTTTGTGGCAGAACGTGTGCCTGCAAAACATACACACGGGAGTGGTTTTTACTCGTGTTTATTATGTCAATTAGGATTGGATTCATAATGCTAAATATAAGTAGGCAGCTCAATAAAACAATTCTACACTTTTCTATTAACATAATCTTCACAATACAATAGCTTTCACTGAAAGCACATAACTAGCTCCACTCCTATAATGGCCTCTGTACAAGCATCTCTTCCTTTACAATTATCTTAGGCTACAGTACAATTGCCAACCCATCAACTACAGTAAGGTCATTATCTTCTTCTAGTTGAAATCAAAGGTAATTATCCCCACTAACTCCAAAGGGGCTGGATGAGCTGTGAAAACCTATGGCACTCTAGATTAAAAGCAGCACTTTAGCCAAAGTGGGGAAACACGTTAGCTATGAATGCCATCCCAAGAAGATGAGAAAACAAAACTAGGAAGCTAAGCCAGTTTTACAAGGGAGTAGCACTAAATAGTTGGGAAAGAGGTTTAACAGGTCCGATAAATCAGAAAGAAAACTCTACACCTGTAATGCTCACCCCTGACTGCACTACCACAAAACTATTCTTCTTAGAGAATCCTTTCTAGTCTTCACATTGTGAGCATCACTGCAAGGGATCTGACCTAGAAGTCTGACTTTCATCTGAGCTGTCTCACACTGGGGTTACTTGTACATAATAGGTGAAAACCAGCACTAAAGCTACTGAGTAACAAAACCTGACAGCATTAATCCACATTTCTAGTGCCCAGGAAAGCCAGGAAACAAATGACCAAATAAAAGCTTTCAAAGGAGAAGTAGAGACTGTGACTTGTATTGACAGCAACGCAGTCAAAGTGAATGAAACCACAGCTCTACCAAAAGTAACTTCTGAAGCTTCACTGACTCCAGGCAGACCCCTGATGTTATTCCTGGCATGGTCACTAGAGATGCTGGTCAGTGAGAAAGGATGAGAAAGAAAAAGAGAGCAGAAGTACCTCTTCCAGACATGCCTCAAGCAGCCCAGATGCAAACCAATGTGTGACCATTCACCTGCATCTCTTCCCTCAGACTCAAAAGCTGTAATTTCACAGTGTGCAATTATTTCTCCTTAAGAATGTTATCATAATTAATTAATACACTGAAGTGGTGTTTATTAAAAACAGAATCTTAATGAAGGCACAGAAGTGGGAGCAGAGAACTGCTTATGAGCATCAGAAGTTCCAATAATTGCTTGCCTCTTAACAATGCAATGGCAGCGAATTAAGCAGCTTCTTCACAGAACACTGCAGAGTAGCAGCACGTCCCATTTGTCTTTAGTTGACACACATACACATAGACAGACGGCTTCAGGAATGACTCTGTACATCTTGCACATCAAATAGGGGGCATCTACTTTATGGTTTTCTGCAAATATGATCTGCAGCACTCTCGTCACTCCTTCAGCTCTGCTACACACTGTCCATTTTACTGCTCCTGCCACGAATCCAGATGGCTGCAGATGTGCAGCTGGCAACACTATGTTGTCTGACCCTGTTTAGGAGTTTACACAATGTAGTGCTTGAATGGAGAGGAAGTCCCAAGTGCCCTCATTAGCACAGCAGCCAATGAGCTGAAATAGGAGCAGCAAGAGTGGGAAATCTTAGCAAAAAATTCCTAGTACAGGAAATGCCTACAGGACAGAGGGGAGATTGTGCGCTTTGCTGTGAGGACAGCAGAGCATAAAAACAGCTCTTTTAGGCATGCAGGGGTATTCTGAAAACTAATTGTGAAGACTAGAGGCCAAAGTAAGCCCAGCTACTCTTCTTCGCTATGCGACTGTATCTCTTTCCACTCTTAAAACAGGGCATAATGCTTTTACCTTACTGCTTACCAAAGGGTCACCTCCTTTGCACTGTAAAATCATAGTAAACGTGTTGATGGTTTAATAAAATCTCTTAAGAAAAGCTCGTGTGGTGAGAGAAGTGTCTTAAGGATGAATGAATCTATTTAAGAACTTCAGATCCTGGGAAGCTTTGACACTGGCTGTCTTCAAGGCAGACTTGAGAAGAGCTGGCATTTGGTCTCCTCTGTGAAGGCAGTAAAGGGGTATTAGATAAAACACATGATCGTTATGTAAATGCACGAACATCCATTGGCTTTTAATTAGTGGTGGATGTAATCGCTCATTATTTGAGCAATTGAAGTTACTACTAGAAAGAGAAGTTCAAAGCACGCTGTGTTGAAAGGTGCTTTCACAAGTTCAGTGATATGATACCTGTTCAGATAGCCTGGTGTGTGAGCTAATCCTTTCAGGCATTACTTCTTTGCCACTGCATTTGAGGTTAAAAACACAGGTGAACTAAACTATGGCTACAGACCGACCATGGAAACACGACTGTTTTGCGGCAGCATGTTGGGCATACGCACATCTTGAGTTTTTAAAGAAAGAGTCTCTGGTTTATGATTTCCCTCTATTTCTAATCAAGCAACAATCACAGTCCATTCAGAAGTAAAACTGCAATACTGCCTCTTAAAATGAATATGGTTCCATACAAAGATTCAATCAGCATTACAATACAGAGGTCCAAGCAGCATCACACTCATTCCCATACACTATTCCACCTTGCTAGTTCAAGTAGCACTGAAGCTTGTGATTAAAACTCACCAACACCAAGATAATTAACTTAAAATTACTACCTACCTAGCTCTTGTTTAACTCTTTTCATGCCCAAATCTCCCAGTGCTTTACAGAGAAGCCTACTTTCACAACTGGCACATGACAGCTAGGCAGCAAAGGCTGAATGAACATCCTGCTTGGGTGGCCACATCCTTTTATCAAGGCAAAGCCTTATAGAGCTCCATACGTTTATGGTGCCAGCTGCAGATGTCCACGATGTCCTCCTCACATACCCCAAGGCCACTGTGCGTACAGATCTCATCTGCCTTTGCTAAACGCTCTGGAAAGGGTGCCTCTGACTGACTTCAGCCAAGCGTGAGCACTTGGCAAAGAGGGCAAAGAGGGCAAAGAGAACCACTGTAACAGCCAGACTGTCCTCACCACCATCCACATGAGCATGCTCGTGGCCTTCAGCCAAATGCAGCACAAGCTCCTCATTCCTCCCTCGGGCCCTTCGGATGCTCGGACTCACATCTGTGCAATCCGAAAGCATGAAGGCGGCAGCCTCAAGCCTGGCCAAGCCCAGATATGCCCCAACAGGTCCAAGGACATCCCCCCCCATAGGAAGAGGAGAAGCAGAAACTGAGCAGTGAAGAGGTTTTGGACACTAAGATCAATCTACGTAAGTATGATCAAACTAGTGCAAAGCACATGCTGAAACTTGGGCATGTCCACATGTTGTTCTGCACAGAGATGAACTTCTGCACATCAGACATCAGCACTATGACCATATGAGGTCCCACCAGTCAGCAAAGCCATGTCATCTCTCTGTGCACCCACTGTGTGAAATAAGGTACCATATATTAGCCTGAGTCTTAATCAAAGCAGGTCAAGCTCAAATACTTCACCTCGTGCTCCCCACAGGCTGCAAGTTGCACATGGTTGGTTACTGCACCTCAGCCGACCCACGATTAACAAATCTTTAAGCAGAATTAATTCAGTCATGTCTAAGCCCTAAATTGCTATGGACAGGTCACAGAAAGGCCTTGCACTACCCAAAATAACAGTGCTGGAAGCTGAGTTCCACTTCCTGGTTCTAATAGTTAATACTTGATTTATAAAGGGGCAAACTACAAATTGACCCAAAAAAGTCCTCATAATATCATTCAGAGTTTGAGTAGCAACAACGAAGTATGATTCAGATCCCTTTTAGAGCCAGCATGAGACCTACCAGCCTAAACCAATGGGTGTTCCAAATCTTATCTAGAGAAAGGAAAAAAAGACTCAGGACAGCAGGATGCTGTTGAGCTGACTTCTGATCCTGACAGGTTTTCTTTGTATTATTTAGAAAACAAAAGCCTCTAGTTTGGGAATGAATGCCTTCATACATGCTCCTTAACCCTTACATGGCTGAGAGGCAGGAAGGAATATCTGCAGAGCAGGAAAAACACTATTTGTAAAGAAAAAGCCCTTAAATGTGGTTCTGAGCAACCTGATCTAGTTGAAGATGTCGTTGCTCATTGCAGGGGGTTGGACTAGATGAGCTTTGAAGGTCCCTTCCAACCCAAACCATTCTATGAAAACACAGCTCTGCTGCATTTGTAATTGGTTGTACATTAATAAGTGCATAAGGTTAATATATAATGGATCATAATTATACAATAGGTAATTATGATACATTTAAACAGTACAGGCAAAATGACAGGGAACAGTGTATGTGGTCCAGCATGGGAAGCAGAAATGTAATCCACAGCTTTCTGAGTATAACCAGAGGGGGGGTTTATGGTGGTTCATACCCCAGGAAATAGCATCCAGGATTGAGAGTCAGTTTGGAAGCAGTACTAGATAATTTATTAGATTAACAGTAGATTATGTCTACACACATAGACTAAGTTTTCTACTGCAGATTTCTTAGTGCTTTCCATTGAAAATAAATCTATTCTCACCTGCAGATGTATAGAAGTGATCTTATCAAAGCTGGTTGCTGGTCAGAGATAGCAAGTGCTATCACTTTGGCTTTCCTTGGCCCTCTCCACTACCACGTTCACTGTACCGTGGGTGAATATTAAGCACTAGCATATTTACAACAGATCTTTACCATTAAAGCAGCACATCACTTGTACATGTGCTGGAGATGGGGTACCTCCACCTCAGCAAGGCTTTTTATCTGTGATGGGTGAGGTACCACACCTCAGCTAAATAAGCACCATGATGAAAGCTGGGCCATCCCTCTCTACAATCTACCCCAGAGATGCTGCAAGGGCACTGTAAAGCTCTTTAAACATCACACTGCTTTTAAGGCTGAAAAACACAACAGCTAAAGCTACTTACAGTTCTGCTTTGGCTGTCATTTATTATGTATCATATGGACCCCCATCTCCCCAGTCCTGCATGATGCACAACGAGCAAGAATTGTTTGGTTGAGAAACTGATTCTTACTTCAAGTGTCTATTTTAGATGACAAACAACGCAGACAAATTCCCCCATCGTGCAGGATTAGTTGGATTAACAGTTTCTCACTTCAACATAAGTGCACTGCATCGTTTAGAGGACAAGCAGGCATTCAGCTGCTGCAAACAGCCTTGTTCACATCTGCTTGCCACTTTCCTTCCAGAGAGCCCATCAAGGGATGAAGCATATGGCCTCGATAGTGTTGCTGTTTGTAAATAGCACCATAGCAAGCACAGCAGAAATTATACATTCAATTGGAAGTTCAGATATAACTTCTGCAGGCCCTGCTCATATCAACCATCACAGCACAAGAGGAAGACATCCAAAGAATTCCCAAGAAAACCCACAATGGTTCTGAATCTTTAATCGTTCCTCTTAGTTACAGCTCTCTTAGATCCATGGGTTTATGGTGGGATGAAAACAGCATCAGACTATCAAACCATGTATTTATCTTGCCGTGTGTCCCAACAGGCCAATGGTGACATCTGCTACACAAAGTTACTGCAGACTTAAACCGTGTGATTTCTTTCTCATTCCTAAATAAAGTCACAATGCAATTATCCCTTCTCAAAGGAAGGGCACGACATAAATTGGCACTCAGCTTTCATACCTCCTGCTGGCACTCCCCCCTTGCTGAAGTCCCCAGCACCTGCACATCCAAAAAGAAGGGCAGCAATTTTTACGTATCTTTTGTCTTTTTTCTCTTGTCCCTCCTCCCCCTAAATGTGAGAATGGAAGAGAAAAACAAACAAGGAAAAAGAAAAACCAAGGAAAAGAAGCTGCAGCTGCACCCATAGGCTGAGACCAAACGGGCCCTTCGAGAACAGCACGATCACAGAGCAAAGTACTTGGGCAATTCCTTCTTCAGGTAGTCTTAACAGCTGGGAATGTGCCAACAAGAAAAGGGTGCAGAAAGACACTTCAGCTAATCGAAGATATTCCTGGATTATTGAAATAGGTCATATATCAAGAAGGTAAAGTGTCTGCATGTACAATTCTCATCTTCTGTTGCACTGCCATCATCATTCCAATAAGAGCATTGGGAGATGGTCAAATCTTGCAGCTACCTAACCTAGCCAGAAAAGCTTATTGGTACAACACAGAGCAACAGCACAGCTTGAACACTTTGCTGGATGGCTCCTTCACCTTGCTCTGGAAGATGTACATAAAAAATCAAACATGAATACTGTACTACCTACACTTGGAATGGTTTTGCCCTGTAACAGTGAGCTGCTGGCAACTCTGCAGCCTTGTATTATTTATCAAGTTGCCTGCATTTCTTTCTGGCAAAAGTGACAAAACAGCTTAGGCTCCTTCAGGATGCACCGAGGCCATTTCTATTTCAAGTAGCAGAGCAGGAGAAAAGTCTGGTTGATTTTGCCCCTGTGCTTTAGTTTTTTCCAATAGTATAGAATCCTAGACTGGTTTGGGATGGAAAGGACCTTAAGATCATCTAGTTCCAACCTCCTGCCATGGGCAGGGACACCTCACACTAGACCATGTTGCCCAAGGCTGTGTGCAACCTGGCCTTGAAGTACCAAACTGCCTACAGAAGCTAAAGCGACTTGGTACCAACCATGTCATGGCTTGTATGACAAGGGGACATTCTTTGATGACTACAGCCTGTTAGGGAAGGATGGGATCCACCTGTATAGAAGAAGCAAGGGAATCTTTGGCAGCAGGTTGGCCAACTTGGTGAGGTGGGCTTTAAAATGAAGGGCTTGGGGAGCGGGGTCCAAAGTGGCAATGCTCACACCATCACATCCAACTGGGGAATAAGCCAACACACGCAACACGGGGACTAAACAGGAAGAATTAGAGCTGGGAGTACAGTGATAGGGCCATGACCTCATTGCAATTACAGACATGGTGGGATAGCTCTCATGACTGGAATGCTGCCATGGACAGCTACCTACGTTTTAGGAGACATGGGCCAGCAAAGTGAGGTGGTGGAGTTGCTTTTTAGGTGAGAGAGCATCTGGAATACATCAGGCTCTGCCCAGGAGTGGAGGAAGAGCAAGCCAAGGGCTCCTGGGTGAGAATTAAGGGGCAGGCTGGACATGGGTGACACTGTTGTGAGCGTTTACTACAGGCCACTTGGCCAGGAAGTCAAAGAGACCTTCTGCAGACAGCTGGAAGTAGCCTCACAATCACAGGCCCTGATTCTCATGGGGAATGGGCACGAGCTGAAACACAGGAAGTTCCATTTGAGTATCAATCCCAGAATCAAGGAATCGGCAGGGTTGGAAAAGACCTTTAAGCTCATCAAGTCCAACCGTTCCCAGCAGTGCCAAGGCCACCACTAACCCACGGCACTGGAGGCCTCATCTATGTGGATTGGGAACACATCCAGGGATGGTGACTCCAGCCCTGCCCTGGGCAGCCTGTGCCAATGCCTCAGCACCCTCTGGGCAAGGAATTGTTCCTCAGCTCCATCTAAACTAAACCTGCCGCAGCTTGAGGCCGTTTCCTCTTGTTCTGCCACTTGTTCCTTGGGAGCAGAGACTGACCCCACCTCACTACAACCTCCTGTCCGGTAGAACATAATCAGCCTTCAATAGATGGAAGAAACACTGGTGAAGGTAGTGCTTTGTTCTGACTAAGGTCAGGAATTAAAAGCACCTCGAGTCCTCAGGTATGAGGTAAACTGACAGATTCCTGGCACAGCATATTCAGAGAGGCCATTTCCAGAGATACTTCTTTGTGAGCTGCTCAGACCTGGAACTCTCAAGAGACCAGCAATAAAGAAGACTTACAAAACCTGTGCTGATCCTTCAAAAGGTGCCTTCTCTTTCTCACTATTCACAGAAGGAACCTGGTTTTCCTTAAAGCATGAGGGTAGAGCAAATTCGATGTCCGAACAATGATGCTGCGTCTCTCACTTTACAGTATTTTTTTACCAGGTTTCAAAATTCCTTCCTCAAATGTTGGTGGAGTCACCGTCCCTGCATTGCGTGTTCACACCCCGGGTAGACGAGGCCTCAGTGCCAGGGGTTAGTGGTGGCCTTGGCAGGCTGGGAATGGTTGGAATTGATGAGCTTAAAGGGCTTTTCCAACTTAGTTGATTCTATGATTCCATCAGAAAGGAGGAAGTTACTGACT